AGTTGACAGCAGATATTTGGTCTGCAATCATGATGTGTCCAGTCATTGACTAAGTTTGTGCTGGATTATGAGGACAGTTCAGAAGTAGACAGATGTTTTGCTGCTGCTATACAAGGGATTTCATATTCCTTGTACAACTCATTTTTGGAAATGTTGTTGAAAGCCCTAAAACTAAAAGCCCAGCTGAGGAAGAAAGCCACTAATAATGCTTCAAGTGGTAGTGCTTATTTATTGCAACGTTCTTCCCCTCTTTATCCTGCCTTGTTTGATGAACAAACATTAGTTAAGTATAGATCACCTGTTGAGCAAGCTATTCATATTACTGTTCCCAGGAGTCCTCAGACCTTTTGGAAATTTAAAAGAGGAAGGTCTAACAGGGGAACAGGACCAGCTGCTAGGTTCAGTTATCAACCTAGAGGAAATGTTAGAAGAGGAAACAATTCAAGACGTAGTAAGGGTGGCCATTTGTTCAGAAGTGGAGGATAGTACCATTAAGCTGGATGAATGGTGGAGGTGTGGCTGAACCAGGGGCAGACTGAAAGAGAATCTGAGTCTTAAGTAAATTCAACTCAAGGCTGAAATGTGGATACGCATCTGCGTAGGTGTTCAAGATCTCCTGTAGGTCGCGTTCAGTGTGAACAACAAGGGTGAGGTCGTCTGCATACTGAAGTTCAATAATGAAAGCTGCCGACACCTTTGTTTCTGCCTGGAGTCGTCGTATGTTGAAAAGACCCTTCATCCACTATTGGATGTCCACCCCACTGACTAAATTGGCACTGGCACAAGTAAGGAAGGCAGCCAAGAAGATGGAAAAGAGAGTTGGTTCTAGTACACATCCTTGTTTTGCCCCTATGGGTGGGGAAGAACTCAGACTGGGTGCCAATGTGCAGGATACTGTCGTTCATGGAGCAATTTGGCGGGCAGCCAAAACGACTGAGTGTCTGCCAGAGGGCTTTCCTGTTGACCAAGTCGTAGACCTTGGTTAGGTTGATGAAGGCCATGTACAGGTCACGATGCTGTTCTCTGCACTTTCTTGTATCTGACGGGCATCAAAGATCATGTCAGTGGTGCTACGTGATGGTCTAAAGCTGCTTTAAGATTCTGGGAGGAAGGTTTCTGCCTCAGGAAGAAGTCTGTTTAGGACATCTCAGGCTCACACTGTATACTGTGCTGATTTATGAGTGTTTGTTTTAACATAATACTACAAAAAAACAATGTTTTGCCTATTCTAGGAGATGGGCTGAGGGCCATCTGGGTAGACTCAAAGTCATTTTAGTATTTTGTGTTTCTCTCAATTACCAAACTAAATTTTTTTCATTCGTATTTATGACCAAAATATAATAAAAATAAAATAAAATTAAATTTTCATATAAATAATAATTAAATCCCAATATGTATTAAAAAAAAAGAATTACTTTAAAAAAAATTAATAGCGCCTTGCGCAAAGAAGCTGCCTTGCTAATGAGTGGTAAACAACAGTCGGAGCTTGGCGGGCCTTTTGTTTTCTCGCATCTGAAACAGGAACAGGAGAAAAACTTTCTCAGGTTTCTTACAGCATTTTTGCATCCCTATTCAGCATGAGCAAGAGAGCAAGTGATGGTAGTGTTGGTTCAAAAGCTAATAGAAAGTGTTTTAGCTTAGCCGAGAAACTAGATGTGTTAAAAAGATGTGAAAAAGGTGAGAGGTCTGTGGATATTATATGGAGCAAGCAATGAACATATTTTCTGAAGTGGATCCATTAACAGAACAAAGTATTAAAATTTAAATAAACACAAATGACCTCTACATAAAGATGTATAATGAGAAAAGAAAGCAGCTGTGCAAGGTTCTTTCGACAGCTTAATTATTCGAAGGCCTAAACCATCAACTTCAGCTACACCATCAAATTCAGCATCATAAGCAACTTCAACATCAACTTCAGGTTCAGTAACAGTTTCAGCAACAGCTTTATGGAAAGCTACAGCTTCAGTCAGAGTTGAACCTGAGTAAAAACTCGTACAATATTCATTGGCTGTCCTTATGTTTTAGACTTTACCACCATTGGTGAGCAGATTTTTTTTTTTCATTCGTAAGTATTATTTAAAATATATATGAACAGTAAATAAGTGTTGCTTTCATATTCATATGTAGAAAAATGACGATATGTTTTCACATGTACGCACTTACTGTTCATATGTTGGCGTTCCCAATCATCTCGCCTTATTTCTTTACCTTTAGTGGTTAGCTACTTCTAGTGTTCCATTTATTAACATTAAATAACATTACTTAAAACATACTTACAGGTATTGGATTTATTTTAAATTAAGTTCACTACAGCTACAACCAGGGTCTTACTTTCTTCAGTTTCTTATGTAGAACCATCGTCACTCACGAAAGCAATGCCGTCTTGTCTCCTCGTGTGTGTATTAATATTCTCCGTATTATTAATGAATTGTATTGTTCATTTCGCATATACAGTTAACCCTCACTTTACGCGGTTAATGTAACCCGGAGGGTCCCGCGTAAAGTGAAGAACGCGTAAAGTGAATAACATAACATATGGGATTAATTGAAATGGAGTCCGGGCCGATCCCCAAACTCCACTTTTTGACGACACACAACTATGTTGGAGTAAAAATTTTATCTTAACTTTATGATGGTATGAAAAAACAAGTAATATAGAAGAGGTTAGGTTAGGAAAGATAAAGGTTAACATAGGAAAAATAAAGGTTAGGTTAGGTTAGAAAACTAAAAATTAGGTGTAACACTTATGGTAGTAGAAGAGATGGGTCGGCATACGGGGATGGAGGCTGGTTCCGAGGCAGAGGGCAGATTACTGGCCCTCAGGTGAATCACCATTACTAGGTGAATCACCATCACTGTCACTTACAGTTGTCAGGGCTTCCCTGGGGGTGGTGGTCCGGCGGAAGCCATTTTACGGAACAATGGATGCGCGTTTACACGGAGTGGCCTTGAGGGATGAAACTGCCGCGGCTAGGTCAAGCGTCGTCTTTCCTCCCTCCCTCCCTCCCCCGGGTGGACACGTCATAATACTTTAAGCCAATTACAGCTAGCAGCAGAGGGGGGTAGGGATGCATGGCCAATCACAGGTCTGATACGTCATATGACGTCAGTGATAACGCAACAAAGACACACACTGCGCAACCTTACCGCGCCGCTTGCCCAAGCGGAGGGAGGAGGAGGGAGAGGCAGGCAGGCAGGGTGGCGGGTGGGGCGAATCTAAAAATAGCGTCGCGCCGGACACTCTCCGCGTAATGGGGTTCACGTACCGCGTAATGTGAGCACGTGAGGTTCTGGCAAGGCACCGCGTTAACGTGGAAACGCGGAATGCGGGACCACGTAAAGTGAGGGTTAACTGTATAAAGATTAATTCAATCAAATTCATATTCAGTAATAAACAATAATGAATCTTTTGTACATTTCTTAAAAAGATAAATGATGCGGCATCCTTAAATGGGCATGTATATGTTGGCGTTCCCAAACCATCTTTTTTTTTTTCTTTACCATGTGTGGTTAGCTAGTTCTATTGTTCCATTTATTAACATTAAATAACGTTACTTACAACATATATTTTAATGTTTTTACGTTAATTTTGCTACAGCTACAACCAGGGTCATATTTACTTCATTTTCTCGTGTAGAACCATCGTCTCGGACTCCCGGCTGTAAACACAAACGAAAACAATGGCGTCCCCTCACCTCTTGTGTGACAATATTATTCTTCATTTATATTGTATAAGGTGCATTCAGAAACATTATTTAAAGAAAATAATTTGCAATTTTCATTAATTGTATTATTTTGGGGGGAAAAGAGGGTAAAAAGCCACACAAAAGATGTGAAAAAGTCACACTTGGGAACGCATCTCATTATTATTGCTTTATTTTAATGGTAATTAATGATTCGCGATAAGACGATTCACCTTGCACTGCAATATTGGAGGACACATTAACGTCATTATTCGAGGCTTTACCGTACAGTAATTTTTTTTGGTAACTTATTTAGTGGTATTATTTTTATTTATTCCTCACATTTACTGGTACTGTATATATTTTTTAAGAAAACTATGGCTACAGGAGGAAAATACACACAAATGTTTTTCCCCTTAAATACTCCCTCAGGAAATGGGGGGTGAGTCTTACATACTGTAAAATAAGGTACACTGTATTACAAGTGAGTTGTTGATGGTTGTGGATTGTCTGGGTTGTTGAGGAGGTTGTGGTGCTTCACAAACTAGCCTTTACTGGCATTAAATGATTCACTAACAGTTGCACCACCACTCTCCTCATTACACAGCCGAGCATAAATTTTCAGAGCTTTACACAGCAAATTGTTATCATTTAGACCACTTTTCTTATTTTCATGCTCCATATACAAGTTCAACAATTTCTCCATCTTTTCAATGAATGGGTAGCAATTTTGGACAAATGATGTGATGAATAACTGCACCATGAATTTTGTCAACATTTATCTTGTAGTTGCGAATGGTGGATTCACCCAAGTTACAGTACCAGCCAAGAACACATGAACCTTCACCAGCTTCAGCACGGTTGATGATTTCGAGCTGCTTCTAGCATTAACGTTGTCCTCTTATGGCTTAGTGAAGGCCCAGGGTTAAAATCAGGACATATAGAAGCCATAATGTCCCTAAAATTTGTACAAAAGGCTTGAAAACAGAACACAGTGTAAAACAGACACAAAGGTGGCTACTGCGAGATTGATACAGTTGGTGTGATGACGTAATACATGCAATGACAAAATAACTGTACTCCCACGCAGTACACACAGCACAAAAACTAGTGCACCATGACTTGCACAAAACATAAGACAATTTTATTTTTTTTACATTAAGTGAACTGTGGGTAGAAATAGGCTCCTCGCACATAGTGAACACACATAAAGCGAGGGTCAGGTGTATATATATTTTTTAATGCTATTTATACATCTATTTGTATGTATGCATGCACACATCATACTGGTATGTACTTTCTTTAAATTCTTACCTTAATATTAGTATTTTTCCTTGTCCTCAGTCCACCAAGCCAAAGGTCTGCTAGCAATATTTGACAACATGTGTGTGATAATAGTGCACGATGGTTAACTGCAACAGCGAGGGAGAGGCACGTCTGTTTGGACCAGTTCCTCAACTCATAAGTTAACAGCTGATGTGTTCTATCATCATCTTGTTGATAGCAGTAATCCAACACTTCCAGAGCTGGTGCAACAAGTTTTATTGTGGTTATTTATCAAATTATCACTCAAAACCACTCCTATAAACATAAATAAAAATTGTGAAGTACATAAGATTATATATACCCGGTATGCCTCTAAAGAGTGTAACCTATATTAACATGACCAAGACAGGGACATATAATTCAAGGGTTCTATGATCTGTGGAAAGAGCATGAAGAATTTATATTGTAACATAAGCACTGTAAAGAGATAAAAATTTTAGTCTAGTGTAGTACAGTACATCTGAGAACAAAGTGTGTACAGTGATGTTGCTCAAAATCATGCTTTTTTTTACATATACTGTAATTTACATTTAATATTTGTTTAATTTATGTTTGTAGCAGTCCATGGTGCTTTACGGACACGGAAGGTGTATCATTAGTGGGTCAGAGATGTATTGTTGAATTATTATTACCTGCCCTCAGTTGGTCCAGCAAAACGAATAATCTGACAAGGCTTTGGAACCAAGGGTGCCGGAAAATCGGTGGTAAAATTCCATAACATTTGCATCACATTTTTTCTGACAAAAAGTTTTTTTCAGAGGTCTTTTTATTTAATATAATCATTAGTAATGCACTTTTTGCCACAATATTAGTGAAATGTACCTTACCCTAATGTAACCTTACCTAACTTTACTTAACCTAACTTTACTTAACCTAATCTTTACCTAACCTAACCCAACCTTCACTTAATCAGTAATCATTCAGAACTAACCCGTAGTTGAAATTGATCAAAAACGAATATATAAACGCCGGATTATCATTGCTTTTACAGCGGACACTGTTGTAGTTTGTGCAAATGTGTTAGAAATGGATACAGTAGAAGTCCAAAAATCCGGACTGCTTGGGGATTAGGTAGGTCTGGATTTTAGGATTTTCCGGATTCTCAGGCAGTACTTTTAAAATTCAAATTTAAGGAAGAGTAAAGAAGAGATGAACAGGTACTTTTTCATAGTTTATTCATTAGCAAATATAGCATGCTTCATTTATCAAAACGAGCAGTTTTAAAGAAAAAGCTGTGAATTCTAGAATTTTATTCTTTGTCTTTTTTATATTATAAATTGTAGACTTTCCAATGTCGTATGTTTCCATTAGAACAGTAGTTCTCACACCATGTTCTAGTTTCTTAATTATTTCAAGTTTGTCACTCAATTTCAACGTCGTGTTCTTTCTCTTCACACACCGAAGCTTATCTACTTTAGGAGCCATTATTATGGGCTTGTACAGTACTCTGTAAATGGAAAGAGTAGGACTCAAAATTACATTCGTTGTCACAGTTTGATTGCTTGTTTTAAAGTGGCGACCGCAAATGGTCGCTTGTTGTCGCTGTGCAGCTGTGGCACTCGCGCATGTGCACATACACACACAAGCCAGCTTAAAAAAAAAAATTGAGTTTTCGAAGTCCAGATTCTCGGGTGGTCCGGATTTCTGGCATCCGGATTTTTGGACTTTTACTGTATTTCTAAAATAAACATAACTTAACATTTGTTGGTATGAAAAACAGACCTAACCAAACAAACCAACCTGACCTTACCTAACTTTCTTACGGAGGGATCTGCCCCCTTCCGGTATATTAAACAGAAATAACTTACTATGACATGGTGAAATTTGAGGCATTTTCTGTACGCGAATTGATACGGCCGCATTGGTGTTGATGCAGCCCGGGCGGCGGAGTGATTTATTGTGACGGAGGGAAAATTAAGCGTTGAGGAAGTGATGGACAAATTTAATTCCGGTCTGAAAGAACAGGGATTTCCGCAGTGTGGACAGTCCCTATTTAAAGGAACAATGCAGTGGTCTTTGAACTATTGAATGGTCCCGTTGTCTTTATCCCTAAATTCGTAAATTACATCCATATAAGACTAGCCACAACCTTCACAAGTCATGCTGAAAATGAAACTGCAACGGGCCCGGGGAAAGGCGCCACAGCAAAGCGCTGGCTCATTACTGCTGGGAAGGCAAATTAGTGCGAGCCTAGGTGCCTAAATATCTACAAAGTGAGACATTTGCATAAGAAATGATTACCATAACAGAACTCAATGATGAAAATAAAATAAGAAAGTCAACAGTAATACAAATAACTCGTTCATGGGTTAATCCTATATATTAACCATCTAACCTGACCTTTATATGTTGGAGAAATGATTATAAAAAGTTTGTTGTCTCTAAATGTATTTAAAAAAAAAAGATATTGAAATTTTTCCAGAGAACTTAATTGTTTGTCATGTGAGTTGTGGCTTTCTTAGGTTAGATAAGGTAAGGTAAGATTAGGTAAGGTTAGGTTTTGTTAGGGTAAGATACATTTCACTAATTTTGCAGCAAAAAAAATCACTACTGAATGTATAGGATAAAAAATCTTTGATTTTTTTTTTCTAAGAATAAAAAATGCTCTACCACTGTTAATTCCTCCTTTTTATTAGGTTTGATGAACTTAGATTGAGTTAGGTATTATTTAACTATGAGTCATGGGCACATTAATAAGGTCTATCTGCAAGTTTACTCATCCATAAATAATATTTGTACCATAAATGGTGACAATAAAAATTTTCCATTTTGGTACAAATTACTTGAAAAGTTGTAAGAAGACAAAAGCTTCATCTCTTCCATTCCGCGATAAATAGAAACACTCAAGCCTCTTCTTATCATAAAAAAACTATAAAGACAAACTGTAATATCGTATTTTAGTTTGTTGATGTACAAAACATTTTCTTCATTATTCTATGATAAAACAAGTCTAACAAGCATTATTATAACATATATTAATATTTTTTATGCAATCGGGAAATAGCGACTACTATATCCGGGTTGAATGTGTTACAGCTCCTAAGGAGATGCTGAAAGTTACGGCCTCGAATACGGACTCACTTACGGAGTCCACTTCCAAATATTTGTTTTGAGTATACCAATCGGAGAATGTAAGTCCAGTTACGGGGTAAACAAAGAGATACAGTCCCGTAAATTCTTTTGAGTATTTGGCCTCAGCTCTGCCATAAAAATAGATGCCATATTGGGGAGACTATCGTCCCAACACAATTCTGGAAAGACCACCCCAAAACCCTCTCCTGCATCCGACTTAGAGCAGCACTCGGGAACTGCATGGGGCATTATCTGAACAGGAGGAAGGCAAATAATACTCACAACTTCTCTTACCCTGAAGCCAAAAGGTCATGGGAGGCCTGAATGCTGAAGTGTAGTGTTGGGACATAATCTCGTCAACTACACAAGTATTGGTTACAGACTGTGGAAGAAGGTGGAGGCAAAACCAACACTGGACAAAGATCAAGGCGTGGCTCATCAGCATCAACTAATCGACTTAGGATAGGTAAAGACCTGAAGGCACCAGTCACCAGGCACACCTCAGCATAATGAATAGAGTTCAGTGTGTTGAGTCTAGTCTCAGTGGCAGAGGAGTACACCTCACACCCACAATCCAGTTTGGGTCTATCTAGCATGTGGTAAAGGTGTAGCAGAGTTCATCGGTCAGCACCCCATGAGGTGTGCCCCAAGACTCAGTAACTTAAGAGCACGCTGGCAAGACTCTGTGAGGTAATGAATGTGTGGCTGCCACATAAGCCGGTTGTTGAAGATAATGCCCAGGAAACAGGTCTCTGTGACACCTAACACGCAATTACCATAGAGCTATAGATCGTGATTTGGGTGATCACCTTGAAGGCGGCGGAAATGCATGGCAACGGTCTTCAAGGGAGAAAACTAAAGCCATGCTCTGTGGTCCAATGTGAAACCTTGTTTAGTGCAAGTTGCAAGTGACATTCAGCCACTAACATGAGGGAAGCTGCATACCAAATGACCAAGTCGTCTACATACAATGAAAATGATACACCCCCTGGAACCAATGCTGCTACCCCATTTATTGTAATAGCAAATAAGGTCACACTCAAGACACTGCCCTGAGGAACCCCATCCTCCTGAATAACTGGTGCTGACATTTCTGTGGCAGCGTGGACACCAAAAGTGCAATATCCCAGGAACTGATCTATTATTGATGGTAAATTTCCCTGCATTCCAAATTTGTGAAGCTCCTTACAGATGCCAAATTTCCAAGCTGTGTTGTATTCTTTCTCTTAGTCAGAAAAAATGCAAACGAGATGTTGGCAATGAGAATAGGTCTAACAGATCGAGGACTCCAGACGAACAAGAGCATCTGTTGTTAAATGCATCTTCTGGAAACCAGATTGGTATGGTGAAAGAAGGGCATTCTTCTAAAGGAAGTATACTAGTCCCGAGTTGACCATCTTTTCAAACAGCTCGCTGATACAGGAGGTTAGCTATGGGGAGATATTCTAGTGGGTGAAGACCCTCTTTTCCAGTCTTCTTGAAAGGCAGGTCAGTAGCCTCCCACCATGGGGCTGGGAAGGCACCCTCTTGCCAGATCCTGTTATGGAGCTCCAATAGAAAGGTCTGTGCCTCAACTTCAAGGAGGCAGAACATTGAAAATGGGGTATTATCAGGCCCTGGTGATGTATCTCCAGTGAATGAGAGGATGGTTCTCATTTCATTAATTGAGAATATAATGCTATATGTCCAGGATCCGTGACTCCTCTACTTTATGCACCCGATTAAACTCTGAGGATCAAGCTGCCATAGAAGATACCCCTATTAATGCTGTGGCAAAATGCTCAGCAACTGAGCTGCCATCATTAGCCCTGAGAACTGGGGAAGGATTAGATGAAAACTTGTCAGCTATTTTCTGCACACATTTTTTGAAACCTGGGACAGGGGATTTTTCATATAGAGTGGATGCATGAGAAGAAAAGGACTGGGGTCAGGCATTCTTTAAAACTTGGCAGCTTGGGCTCTGGCCTGTTTGTATTCCACATAATAAAATTCTGTTGTATGATGCCGGTAGTGACCGTAGGCTCTAAGTTGCTGAATAACTGCCTGCCTGCACTTCTTTGATCATCAAAGGACAGGTCTGTGAGCTACACGACCAGCGGTCCGAGGAATGGAGCAGTGACCAGTCCAATGGAAGAGGCTGGCCAAGTATTCAACTGCTTCATCTACAGAGGGAAATTCTTCAATGCTCCTGTCTACCTTCACGAGTTCCTTGAACAAGTCCCAGTCCACCTTGTCTAACCACCAACAGGGAACTCATGATGCAGGGAAGACTTCCAGAGAGGAAAGTAGAATAGGGCAGTGGTCACTTCCTCTTAGGTCGTCTGTTACTCTCAACTCAAAGTCCAGTAAAGAGTCGGCTGAGCTCAAGGAGAATTGTGTGGCTGTAGTTGTGTTGGCTGGACATGATAGTGAGTGATATCACCAGTATTTAATATACCCAGGTCCATTTCTTCAATTATTGTATCACCCTAGAGGGTATGCCTTTCATTAAAATCACTGAGGATAAGATAAGGAGAAGTTGACAGATTAATGAAAAAAATCCTCCCTAGCAATTACTGTATTGGGTGGGAAATAAATGGAGCATATGGTAGAGGTATGTTGGAAGTGAATCTTGCAAGCTGTCACCTACAACCGGGAAGTGATGGATAATGGGCTATAAGGTACACCACACTGAGACAAAGATGGCCATGATTCTTGGGGATCTAGGTAGAGGTAGGTAAGTGTGCAGCCCCCAACAGGCATTCAGACTTAGGCTTGGTTTGGGTGTTGGAACCTGGAGGATCCACTGGGAGTGTACCCCAACGTGCGCCTCTTACATAAGGTGTGTCAATTTCAGAGGTTGAAGTGTAACTTTAGGAATATTTCTGACGGTGGATCATCAAATGGTGCATTTTTAATGTGTAGATTCCAGGAATAGCCTTGATTTTTAAATTGAAGGTGCCCTACCTACATCAATTTCCAATTAAAATTTTGTGTTTTAGGCCCAAAATGCTAAATTTTCCTGTTGCTATCTATCACCATTGTACTGAAATGAGACACTGTTAAATCGTATTGGCAGTTTTATTAAGTATTGTTTGACAATAGGTATTGAGGTTTTTTACTTTCCTCCTGTCATAATCGTAATGACGGCTAGCCTGTTAAAACCTAATGATTCATATTACACTACACGTCCACAAAACCTTCTGAGTCTCCCAGTGGAAACGTCCCCCGTTTTCTCTGTATCTTTGACGACGTCATTCAGATGTCGTATTTTTGTTGACTGAGTTTGTAAACTCTTTCTCCTACCGAGACCTTGTAACCCTTTTTCATCTATGAATATCAGAGACCCTGATACTCATAGTGAAATTGTTGTAAGGATGTTAACTAAGGAATTAGTTAATTTTCCTGAAGGAAACATTTAGACCTGCTTCTTGGTGTTTGTAGTAGGACGCTACTCGCTTAAGCTCCGCCCACCGGGATTGCCATCCAGGACCTTTTGAAATCAATTTAATTCTTGCCTTTGATAGCTCAGTCAGAGCATTGTTTGTAAAAAGAATATTAGGGAATGAAACTGAGTTCGTAGTCTCAGTTTCAAACATCAGAGTGTACAGTAACGCAATACAGTGAAGTAGTTGAGTAAGTGGAATTTGTGACTTAGCTTGGGTGGAGTGTGGCGGGTGCTTTTCAAACCGTTAGCACGCTCACCGATCCTCACCCCACAGGTCCCTGTCGGAGTCTAGGCCATGTCTGTAGCTTGGATGATGCATCCACTCGTTTGGGGAGATGTCTGAAGACCAGTAGAATCGGGTATCTCCGTGAATCCCGAGCGTCAAGAATCTACTACCACCTATGGGCCCCATAGCTGGCCAACCTTCCCCTTATGCTCACTGCCCACGTGGTGACACAGGATCATCAGGCCCAACAAACAACTGCCAGCCCCCATCTTGATGGATGAGTCCATGACTCAGTAGGGCTATTTGGTGGTTGTGTTATTCCACCAGAATTATTGGAGTTTGTTGGAAGGTGCCACGTGGTGAGGAGACTATCATGGCTGCCGCTTGAGTATTACTCCTGGTGCTGTTGAGTGTTATGTCTGGTACTGCTTGAGCAAGCAGTTGTAGTAACTGGCATCATTGCCATGGGTTTTAATGGTGCTAAGGTGCTGTGAGAGAGTTCATGTGTGTTATTGTGTATGTACACCCAGTCGTGGTGTAAGTAGAAATTGGGCCTGAGGGCCATAGTACAAAGTGAGTTCCTATTTGTGCATTTATATAACGTCATTTTAATAACCATTTTGTGTTTTTAATAAACCATTGTATTTGTATGTTGTGGCTATTATTCACCTGCAGTTGTTCACCGTTATTCCTTCCTATTATTTGATACCAAAATTACATGTACCCATGGGCCTAAACCCTCGAGTCACGCTACCACAGGTCAGAGATTAAAGTTAAAGTAATGTTATAAGAATCCAAGCTCTTATAAATGGTGGCACAGGTGGGGATGTAATTTACATGGTATTGAGTTGGGAGGAATGAATGTGATACTGTAGGTTTTTTCTTAATGGTGAGCTTGGACTCTTATACAAGGGAGGATCGCACTTTGGAAAATTACAAATTATACAACATACGTAATGCAGTGTTTAACTGGGCAGAAGCATGGAAAGCATTAGTGTAACAACCCTATCCAATGCGCAGAACAAACTTTAAAAAAGCACTGAAATCGAGGTCGACTTTGTAAGGTTTGTCACTGACAATTTTGTTAGCTTGCTACACTGAGTTGGCAAGACTAGGGTACCTGAGGACAATGTTGTGGAGTAGCTGGAGGTAGATAATCCAGAAAAAGGATTTAGTCTTGATACAGAGGAGGAGATAGCTGCAAGTGTCTGAAGAAAAGACAAAGGAGATGATGATTGTGCTGATGAAGATGCCAGTCCATGGCCTAAGCTATCAGACACATCAGGGCAGATATCAAAAAACGTCAACACACCAACTTCAAGCAAGGGAAAATATCTGACTTCTTTAAACCTGTGTCAAGGGTCCCAAGAACCAGTCGACCTCCCTCCAGCAGTACCTCCTTAGTGATACCTTCAGCATCAGGATACTCTTCCTCATACACCACTTCCAGCAGTGCCAGTTTCCTACACAGTATTTCCTCAGAAGTGGCACATATCTAGCTGTCACCCGACAGCAATTGATTGCACACTGCTCATTGTCATTTCACAGTGTTAACATAGTGTGTAAGTGAAAATACCTTGTAGTGCTTAAGTCAAAATACTGAACAGTAAAGTACTCAGTGTTTAATTGAAAACCAAATTCCTTATTTTATATAAGTGAACAAATTACAGAAGTACAGTATACTGTACCTAAGTGCCTTATTGTTTACTTAGTGTCCCCCCCTCCACCACTACCGTCACCTGCGTCACCTACCATGCCTCTGTGTTGCCTAGTGCAATGCTTCATTCTTTGTTAGCTGTACTTGGTCAAATTGACTTACTGTTTACCTTTGTTGTATACTTGCACTATCTAGGTACCTAGAAAACTGTGTACTGTACTCCCATCTTGGCCTAAGTACAGAGGTTTACCTGCAATGTCTATACTCATGCTGAACTGTATACCTGTATAGTTTATATAGAGTACATGCCTACTCAATTGGAAACTGTATGATAATTTAACTGAATAACTATTATTAATACTGTACCTCATAAATATTATAAAGGCAGTAAACCCTCCCCCACTTCAGGTTTAGCAACTGCATTTCCGAGTAGGCACACAAGTTATTAAATTTAGGTTTACAAGGTCAGTGAGAATGAACTTATAAGTAATTTGGTCATTGTTGAACCTAATTTACATATTTCATTATCAAAAGTATTTATCTTCACTAACTCTGTAAAATGTTATGAAAAAATATGATGCTTTAATGTGGAAAAGCAAAAAAATATTAATTGTTCCCTAATTTTCATAAACCAAAGCCACTACTGTACAACTCTTGTTAAGGTTGCCAGCCATCTCTGCACTTCACCAATATCAATCCAACAATAAATTACTTTGCTAACTAACTTGAAAATGTACTGATGGGTGGACAGACATACTGTACACACAAAGGTGAAAAGAAAATGTGTAATTGAATTACTGTAAATTCAAAAACAGATCATGAACACAATTGTTTACACAAAACCACTTACCAAGTGTCTCAAACTCTTTGGCATATCCCTTAAGTTCTTCATAAACTTCTGTCTCCAGGTCATCATCTGCAGCTTCATGTGCCAGAGCCTTGTACAGCTTGGCCGCCACTAAGGCTTTAGCAACTGCCTCCTCACCACGCTGCCACATCAGCATTGCCATGCCCTGCCTCTTGGTTAACACGGCCCACACCTGTGAAGTTCTCAGGACTGTCACCAGTAAAATCATGGAAGCTTAAATTTATGAGTACTGTTTACATTAAGTTCTCCTGCAGTGATATGGTTTGTTGTTTCCTGAAGCTACAACTGACAGATATTCTCATCTTCCTATTCTGTGCAAGTGTTACACGTTTCACGTACCCATTCCACTCGATTCGTTTATTTCTTCAACAAATATTTGTTCAACAATGCTCTACCAAGAGGCTTAAAATAAAATTAATATATTCTTACATTTACAATCTCTATCTTGCTGGACATTTATGCTTAGTTCTACACATCTGTAAATCTTTCCTCTGTGCTCCCTTTCTCTCTTTTTCTTCCATTTTCTATTTGTTAGATCGACCTTTTCTGAGTCTAGAGAAGATAGAGCATGGAGGAGTATGTATAAATGAAGATAGTCAAATGGCATCTTGGAGACTAAGCCTGCTTGGGTAATGGGAGACAGATGTCTCTGCATATACTTCGTTAAATTTACCATGAATGATAACATTTTTGGATGGAGTGAAAAAACATCTTAAATACAATATAAATGTGTTTATGTGGGAGCATTAGATTCACAATTAGAAAAGAATTATTTAATTCTTCCACTTTAGTTTATCTGGTGAATGAAGCAAAGTATATGAGTTTATCTAACAAGACTGACAAGAAAACAATGAAGATTAACGGACATTGGGCAACAGAGAATTTAAAAAAGAATGTGGCACCAAATAAGTGGCACCAAATTAGTAAAGTGGGGTCTCACTGTACGCAGGTTTCACATGCGCGGTTATCGTTTACACCAATGATTCTCAAACTGGGGTCTGTGAAAATATTTTGAGAAATAGTGCGTTTAACGTTTGTGAGAGATTTGGCGATTCCAATTCACAGGATATTTTGGATTTGGGTTGAAATGAACAAATGCTTTGGACTATGATTTATTCTTTCATTATTGACAATATTTGTATGCATCATGGTATACTATAAGGGGTCCTTGGTCGAAAAAAGTTTGAGAAACCCTGGTTTACACAATTGATTGGTTAACCAACACTGGAACAGGTTCTGATAAATTCATGAGCCAGTACATGCCAACAGTGCGTAACAGATGTGTGACCGACCGCCCAAGTGGCTAACGAGCCGACCAGTGGAGTAAAGGATAAAAGTAAAAATGAAGCTACATTCACTAAAGGTGTTAAGGATAATTCTAAGACCACATACACTCTCTCTGTGTATGTGGACTTGTGCCCTCTTTACTACCCGGGTCCACCACCCTTATCTCTCCCTCATCAATACCTCCCCCACCCTCTTGTGAGCCGTCGCGTAGAGGGGCACTGAGCTCGCAGGTATAGTAGTAAGTGGGGTGGATTATTACTTTCGACCACAACTGTACAATGCTCAATTTTACTTTAACTTAAGTAGCCAAGTTCTGAGAATCTATCAGATTTAGGTTTATAGTACTAAACATACTGTACTTACCAGTAGTTCACTGAAGGGATAGTCAAACTCAAACTTGCAATACAAATCTTCACAAATGTATGACTTAGGAGACGTGTTGGGGTGTTTCTGGAGAAGACTCTTACTAGCCTGAAAAATGCTACTGTTGTTACGGTGAAGGTGCGGGGACCTCATCATGGTGTTTTCGTACGTCGTGCGAAATTTCTTACGTGTGTAGTACGATCTGCAAGAAAGAGCTAAATTTGCTGAGGGAGAACTCACTCTCTCTACACCCAGTCAGCAGCTTACTAAATGAAATGAAAGGTTAGCTACAGAGAAACTAGTTAAATGTGCTGATACCATATACTGTAGTGTAATAGTATCTACACAATCTTGTTAGGACATATACTTGATCAGGATACTGTACTATCACATTACTTCATGTTATTCACCTGGTGACTATTTTACATTGTATATAGTAGTTACCCTTTATTATCCTTATTCTTTAACTGTCTACACAATGTGAAACAGAAGCTTGTAATTCATATAAATAATAGGTAAATATTTAATTATCAACTACAGTCAGTTCTGCTATAACGCGATAGTTGTGTTCTTGTAAAACATCGTGTTATAGAAATTAGCGCAATAGAAATAACAGGGCTTATGGAGAAAATAGGGTTAGGTGCAGATTACTCGAAATCGAAAAAAAATTTAGTAGTTAGCCTTACACAAAGGATAGCACAGTCTAAATAAATGTTACATTCATAACTAATAATGAAATCATACAGTAAATGTAACACTTTACCTTGAAAAAATATGAATATAACTTGATGGGGAAGAAGGGTGATTTTGAAGTTGATAACATCGAGCTTCTCTTCAAGTGTTATAGCCTTTCTTTTACGATCATCACCGGGAATGCGATCACCAGAACGCTTCGTGGAGATATTCATCTTTACCATATTCACAGTTAATACTACAAAAATGGAAAAATAGTAAGCAAAAATCGCGTTACAGCAAACAAGTGTTCGCATTATACAAATATCGTTCCTCTATTCATAAATCACGTTAGAGCTAATTCGCGTTGTCAAAACACACGTTATAGCAGAACTCACTGTATAGGCTATGAATTTGAATGACAACAGACATCTTAACAGGTGACTAAATTACAGGTACTCCTCGACTTACGGCCTACAGTACTCGACTTACAACCACCCGGACATACGGCGGCCGCAGTCGTATAAAATATTTTTTCAAATTACGTATTTTCGAGTCCCGACGTTAGTGACCGCGCTGTGTACTGACAAATTTTTTTTATTATAATTCCCTTTAAAATGGCTGGCAAGCATAAAAGTGAGAGTTCTCGTGGTGCTAAGAAGAAAAAGAGACACCAATTTTAGATTTTCTATGTATTATTTTCGCATTTTCGACTTACGACCTGGTCGTCGGTCCCTAGCCCCATCGTAAGTCAAGGACTGACTGTAATAAGATGATACCAGATTTATTTATGTATTAAAAAAAGTGATACAAATATGAATTACTTACCTGAAATAATATACATCTACACTACACACGTTAAGCACCAAAGCTGATTAATTAGGATTAATCATTCACTTTTCATTTTACTTCAGTAAAATTAATTGATATAATATATCAACCTTAAAAGCTCATCCACTAACTCTCCAAATCTTTGTGTAGGGATTTCTTTACTTGTTGTTTCTGCCTTTTTCTGTCACTTTCTAAACCTTCTTTGTGCCAGTCTCCTTGGCCACTTTCCCCCTTTCTTGAGGTTTAGTTTTCCTCGCCTTATCCCATACTAAGCGTGACGCACGCACGCACGCACTCACACACACACAGAGTTGAGTCTAGATTTACGCGGTTTTGGTTTACATGTTTGGTCATTTACGCTGTGCCTTGCGAGAATTGAAATGCTTTAATTACGCGGTAAATTTGGTCATTTGCGCGGAGAGGAGCTGGATGTCCAGCCACGCCGCGCTATTTTGGATTCAAACCTCCCGCTATGTTTGACCAAAGCGAGGGTAAGCGGCGCGAGTAAGGTTGCGCAGTATGTCGCTGTTGCATTATCGGTGATGTCATATGACATATCGGACTGTGATTGGGCCACGCATCCTTACCTCCCTCCCCCGCTAACTGTGATTG